AGTACTATGATTATCAACTCACCAAACGTTGCTCAGAGCGAAGACTCAAAAGTTTCAAGGTTTCTTCATGGTGTCTTAAGATAAGATCGTTGAATACCGAATAGCTAAGAAATGTCACGATTTTCATCATTGTTGTAGTTGGTTGCATCATCATTATTCACGAGGTTGTCACGTGCGATTCTACTTTAAAATGAAATAGTCTTTAACTCTGACGGCTTGATTCTAAAAGTGTTATAAGCCTTAACTTAAGGCACTAGTTACAAAGCTAAAGAGGTCTTCATTTTTTCAAGTTACTATTATTACTATTATTACAGTTTGCACGTGAAATTGTTGTACTTTGCCCCTTTCGTGTGTTCTTACGTAAGAGAATTCGAGTTATCACATAGTAATCCAGTAAAAACTGGGATTATAAAAATAACTCATGCACACAATTTACGCGTGAAGATGCTGGACTTTGTCCCTTTTACAACTCGAATTGTTTAATAGAAAATTTGCTCAAACGATTTTAAGAAAATACCTCGGCGTTACAACATCTGCTATTAAATCATGCTTCATGCAACGTTAAGGTTGATAGCCTAACTTTTATTTACTTCCCATAACATTATCAAACCGCCGAAATATATTTCTACTAATATCATGTTATTCCAGTTAATAAAACAATACCTAATTATTTTGTCAACTAGCTTCTTCCAAGTTTTATTCCCTAACGCTATTGTTTCTTCTTAAGTTACGCATCTTTACTGAATAAAGTACGTTTCAATAACTATAATGACTCTTAAGCAGCAAGCATGTATCATGTTGTTCACTTAATTCGTTTTTTGCTGGAACGAAGAAGGTCTGTTGAACTTTGTAAGCGAGAGAATAAAGCTTTTTTACAGGATTAACTTACTCGGTACAGCTTTCAAACAAAAAAATAAACTGCCTTTTAAACTTCTAAAACAACAATTTATAGGCTGCACACATGTACTTCCGAAATTAAGTCCATATCTAAATATCAGTTATTGTTTCATTAAAAGAACTTTGAAAAAATATATGATCTTTTATACTCTACCTTGAAGCAGATGAAACAGAACTCATAAATTATGAAATACGTGCGTTGTAATAATAATAATAATGTACCGTTCGCGATAGCCGCGAATTAGGTCAGAAATATCTTGAAGCAGCACCCACATGTACGAAAATACTGGAACCCTAAACCGACCTGCATCACTGTACTGAGTGTTTTAATCATGGAGATATTTAAATGTTATTCTTCCAAACACCTTTAGCCGTAATAAAAGTCGAAAAAATGGTGAAGAATCAAGATGGCGATCTCAAAGTGCTCTTGTTTGACCTTTAGCAATGTCATGTTTAATGCCAAAATCTCATTGGTTCCTAGCATCAGCTGATAGTATCTTCAACCTTATTGGTCCCTGCAACACACATCCAAACACACAAAGCCAAAAAGACACATACGCTCAGACCACTGACATACGAGCTATTTTTTCAAAAAAGTTCAATAATGGCATGTGTATGTGTATGTGTAGTTGACCATTATCACATAAGAGTAGAGATTCAACAGATGGCGCAAACTCATCAGAAGATAAATAAAATACACTCAGTGGAAATTCGACGCTTGACGACAGACGCCTGCATACACATGAAAAGGACTCATCACCCTCCTCTGACAACACCACTTAGTACTTTTAACCTCTTGGGCATCATTTTCAACTGGATGATTCCATCATCTGCTCGCACAAGGGGATCCTCGATTCACCTTACTCAAAACATTGGCATCATCTCCAATACATCCTCACAAGGCGAGCTATCCTATCGTGTATTAAGCTTACACATAGCCTTCACAGCGCAGAAGGCGATACTGACCATTCTCTGGTGTATAGCAAAGTGAAACTACAGGCAAAGAGAATCTACCACACAAAGACTGTGTGAAAACCATGCCTTGACGTCGGCAAGACCCCAGGTTGACAGAAAGTGGAGGAGTTCATAACTACGCTTGAGAAATCTCTCCCCCAGCCTCTCTATTGGAAAAGTCCAAGAAGGATTGAATTACTTCAGGGATGCGGTTCATGGATCAGCCATGCCCAACTTCGGTAAGAAGAAAAACAAATCTGTAATAGAAGAAAAGAGAAACGTTATAACGGGATAAAAGTTCTGCCCAAGTGAACAAACTGTCTACAGGCTCTAGAGACAGCACGTAGTAATGTGCAACGATGCAACAGACCACGTGCAAATCAATACTGGCCTGAAATCTGTGCTAGTATTCATTCTGTTGTTGAGACAGGTATTACTAAGATAATCCAAGACCGAGCGCAACAGATGGAGCGCTGAGTAGAACATGATTACTCTGAGCTGTCTGCAGAGAGAATATGGTGTCTTTGGAAGCACTGAATGCCATAGAGTGCTTACCTGTTCTGTAGCACCTGGATAGTGGTGGCCTACTGAGTGGAGCTGAAAGAGGCCCTGGGGTACCTGCACCTGGAAAAGCGCGCGGCCAGGATGGTAATACTCTGCCTGTGCTACGCAAACGTAGTCACTCTATAGCAAAACAAGGGGACCAGAAGAGCCTGCAACAATTATCAAGGCATATGACTCCTCAGCATTGCTATGAAGCTCTTCGCGCGAGTAGTTCTGAGGGGTCTCCAACTGCTTGCAGACAAAATTTTTCCTGAGTAATCGTGTGGTTAATCCCTGCCAAACGATCAACACTATTAGGGCTAATAGCTTGTCCAGCCCAGTATAATCAGTTAGGTCAGTTCGGCCGAAGCTTCGCCGCAATGGCCACAAGCATTAACTTCAGTTAAACCATCTTTTTGGGAGCCACTTTCAAGCTGACCTAGTCTTTTTCCTTTTTCGAGCAAAACAGAGCCATTTAGGCTCACATAATCATATCACTTGAACAATGTAACTTGCAATCCGTTGTCGACGTGCTCTTTACATCCCGATGGCCTTCAATGAAGGTTGCCGTCTTTGCTTCGAACTATTTAAATGTGGGGTTCAAGGAGAATAATTTTTTTCACAACCTGACTTACAACTGACTTTGAGCTGAGACGGCCTTCCGAATGAGTTATCCCAGATAATAACGATCATTACTGACGGTGGAATAAAGGAACATTTGATTTAAGCTCCTTCGGAATTAAGCTAAGGGTTACTTGTTGGTACGTAAAAAAATAGCTGGCCCGGTTGTTCAAAAGGTGGATAGCGCTATCAACTGCATAAATCTCTATCCACGGGGATACTGCGATTGTTTTTCTCCGCTGGATAGTGATTTATCCGATAAATAGCAACAACCGGGGTCTGATCACATTTCCCCTTAAATAAGCGATTTTGTAAAATTTACACACGAACAATTTCTTCTCTGTGCGTAACAGTTAATTTCAGCTTGAATCTTCAGGCAACCTAAGTTTAGGATGTGTACTAAGAACTGAATCAGATTTTTCTAAATCTTAAGACTAGACTAGTCAGACGCTCGAGCAACTCGTGACGCAATATTTACAGTTTTAAACCCCAATCTCAAACTCTGTCCGAGGACCCTCAAGAGACGATGAAATATAACTTCCATGTAAGATATAACAATAAGGCAAGTGATTCCGGAAGTGCTTAGTTCCTCCTGCGTTCAAAAGAATTTACGGCCTTAAAATCCTTGACGCCCCATTTTGTTGTCGTTTTCTTTAGCTTTACTTCCTATTTTCGAGTTTATAACCTCCTCTTTTTATACCAAGTTACCTATAGAAAGTTCCTTCTTGTTTAGGCCTAATTGTAATTTATTCCATGACATAATTATTTGTGTTCTACTGATAGGTTTTCTTTACAGTCTTAAATCATTATTACATGTAATCCTTATTGATCACTGAAGAACCCCAAATGGATATGTGTTCAATAAAATGTATGTATGTGTGTATGAAATATTAATTCTCTTTTTTATTTTATTCGACGGTCATTGTAAAAATTAATATAATTGTACGTTTGGTATTTGTAGGTATACATGAACAGGAGATCTCAGTAAGCTCAGCTGAGCTTTTAAGCGGAGATCCCCAACTTTACTTATCAATTAAATTACTAACAACAGGCTTGGCGCTTAATTCTATCGAATTTTCATGAAATGATGCAAGCATATCAATTTTGGGAATTTTAATGTACTGTCACATGCCTTTCAACCTTTTAGACGTTTTTATCATTCTTCCAGAATAGTTGATCCTAACTTAAAATTCTACAAGAAAAACCACGTTTTTAAAAAATACAAAGAAACCTAAAAACTAAAAGATTTCTCGTAAATACACAAGACTGCAGACACAGGTTCAATAGATTTAGAAATAAACAAACAAAACTCCTGGGGCCCGTTTCTCGAAGCTCCCGGTAATTACCGGGCCCGTTAAGCTGTTTTGTTTTCCATTTTAGAAGGGAGTTTTAAAAGTTTTGAAAATTATACAGTAGAGTTATTAGCTAACGAAACAAAATGGACTTCATTAGAAGTCAGAACACACCCTACTTTTCTTGAGACTTTGATTTAAAAATGTGATTCCGGGCCCGTTAAGTTACCGGGACTTTCGAGAAACGGGCCCCTGATCATTTACTTCAACAACTTAACTGCTTTTAAATGTCACTAGCTTTATTTTGCCGATGCGGGTAACCGAAATCTTTCGTAACTTTGTATTCCTGGGTAAGTCCATTTAACCGAAACAGAATGTTTTGTGGAATCACAGCTACGATAGCATCAGCTTAATTTACAATTTTAAATGACACCTGACCAGACCACAGAGTTGTTACGTATAAGAAAAAGCTTTACATTTTGAAGAAAACCTTATTGTTTTCGTAGCTATTTCTTAAGCCAAAAGCTTATTATTATAACGTTTCTAACTGGCTTCCTCATTTTTTTATTTAAGATTAACTCTGTTTCCCTAGAGCTATTTGCTAATTATTCTGGTCTTGTTTTTTTACCTATTTATGTTTCAGAAAAGACCCAAATGGGCACTGTTCAAGAAGCTATTCACCTTGGCATTGGCATGATTGCCGCAGATTTTCTTTCAAACACTAAACGAGGTGTCCAGGCTATCGAGCTGTGGAACGAGTGCTTAATACTACTAAACAACAAAACCTTAGAAAACGAACATGAACTTGCCAAAAAGGTGCGTATAACGCTGTATAAGAAGCTGTTTTATGGAAATGCTGCTATTACGAAACTTTCACCAGCTATAGAATCTGGCAAAAAGCTTTTAGTCCTACTTCGTAATCTTAGGGAAAAAAAAGAAGAAGGTAACACAGCCTTGATGTTATCAACACTGTACCTCCAAAAAAGTGAATACCAGGAAGCACAAGCAGTCCTCAAAATTGCACTCTGCGTTTACAAAGAAATCGAAGACAAAGACGGAGAAGCGTCATGCTACGGAAACCTAGGAAATGTGTTTCTATCTGTCGGAGAATATGCCAAAGCTGAAGAATATTTTCATAAAGCACTTAACATCAAGACAGAAATTGGCAACAGAAAGAGAGAAGCGACATGCTACGGAAACCTAGGAGCTGTGTTTCTATCTGTCGGAGAATATGCCAAGGCTGAAGAATATCTTCATAAAGCACTTACCATCAACACAGAAATTGGCGACAGAAACGGAGAAGCGACATACTACGGAAACCTAGGAAATGTGTTTCAATCTGTCGGAGAATATGCCAAGGCTGAAGAATATCTTCATAAAGCACTTACCATCAAAACAGAAATTGGCGACAGAAACGGAGAAGCGTCATGCTACGGAAACCTAGGAACTGTGTTTCTATCTCTCGGAGAATATGCGAAAGCTGAAGAATATCTTCATAAAGCACTTACCATCAAGACAGAAATTGGCAACAGAAAGGGAGAAGCGACATGCTACCGAAACCTAGGAGCTGTGTTTCTATCTGTCGGAGAATATGCCAAGGCTGAAGAATATCTTCATAAAGCACTTACCATCAACACAGAAATTGGCGACAGAAACGGAGAAGCGACATGCTACGGACGCCTAGGAATTGTGTTTCGATCTGCCGGAAAATATGACAAGGCTGAAGAATATCTTTATAAAGCACTTACCATCAACACAGAAATTGGCGACAGAAACGGAGAAGCGACATGCTACGTAAACCTAGGAAATGTGTTTCAATCTGTCGGAGAATATGGCAAGGCTGAAGAATATCTTTATAAAGCACTTACCATCGACACAGAAATTGGCGACAGAAACGGAGAAGCGACATGCTACGGAAACCTAGGAGCTGTGTTTCAATCTGTCGCAGAATATGCCAAGGCTGAAGAATATGTTCATAAAGCACTTACCATCAACACAGAAATTGGCGACAGAGTGGGAGAAGCGTCATGCTACGTAAACTTAGGAAATGTGTTTCAATCTGTCGGAGAATATGCCAAGGCTGAAGAATATCTTCATAAAGCACTTACCATCAACACAGAAATTGGCGACAGAAACGGAGAAGCGACATGCTACGGAAACCTAGGAAATGTCTTTCTATCTGTCGGAGAATATGGCAAGGCTGAAGAATATCTTCATAAAGCACTTACCATCAACACAGAAATTGGCGACAGAAAGGGAGAAGCGTTATGCTACATAAACCTAGGAAATGTGTTTCAATCTGTCGGAGAATATGCCAAGGCTGAAGAATATCTTCATAAAGCACTTACCATCAACACAGAAATTGGCGACAGAAACGGAGAAGCGACATGCTACGGAAACCTAGGAGCTGTGTTTCAATCTGTCGGAGAATATGCCAAGGCTGAAGAATATCTTCATAAAGCACTTACCATCAACACAGAAATTGGCGACAGAGTGGGAGAAGCGTTATGCTACGTAAACCTAGGAAATGTGTTTCAATCTGTCGGAGAATATGCCAAAGCTGAAGAATATCTTCATAAAGCACTTACCATCAACACAGAAATTGGCGACAGAAACGGAGAAGCGTCATGCTACGTAAACCTAGGAGCTGTGTTTCAATCTGTCGGAGAATATGGCAAGGCTGAAGAATATCTTCATCAAGCACTTACCATCAACACAGAAATTGGCGACCGAAACGGAGAAGCGACATCCTACGGACACCTAGGAATTGTGTTTCAGTCTGTCGGAGAATATGCCAAGGCTGAAGAATATCTTCATAAAGCACTTACCATCAACACAGAAATTGGCGACAGAGACGGACAAGCGTCATGCTACGTAAACCTAGGAAATGTGTTTGAATCTGTCGGAGAATATGGCAAGGCCGAAGAATATCTTCATAAAGCACTTACCATCAACACAGAAATTGGCGACAGAAAGGGAGAAGCGACATGCTATGTAAACCTAGGAAATGTGTTTCAATCTGTCGGAGAATATGGCAAGGCTGAAGAATATCTTCATAAAGCACTTACCATCAGCACAGAAATTGGCGACAAAAAGGCAGAAGCGTCATGCTACGTAAACCTAGGAACTGTGTTTCAATCTGTCGGAGAATATGCCAAGGCTGAAGAATATGTTCATAAAGCACTTACCATCAACACAGAAATTGGCGACAAAAACGGAGAAGCGTCATGCTACGTAAACCTGGGAGCTGTGTTTCAATCTGTCGGAGAATATGCCAAGGCTGAAGAATATCTTCATAAAGCACTTACCATCAACACAGAAATTGGCGACAGAAACGGAGAAGCGACATGCTACGGAAACCTAGGAAATGTGTTTCAATCTGTCGGAGAATATGCCAAGGCTGAAGAATATGTTCATAAAGCACTTACCATCAACACAGAAATTGGCCACAGAAACGGAGAAGCTACCTGCTACGGAAACCTAGGAAATGTGTTTCAATCTGTCGGAGAATATGCCAAGGCTGAAGAATATCTTCATAAAGCACTTACCATCAAAACAGAAATTGGCGACAGAAACGGAGAAGCGTCATGCTACTTAAACCAAGGAGCTGTGTTTCAATCTGTCGGAGAGAATATGGCAAGGCTGAAGAATATCTTCATAAAGCACTTACCATCAAGACAGAAATTGGCGACAGAAAGGGAGAAGCGACATGCTACGGAAACCTAGGAGCTGTGTTTCAATCTGTCGGAGAATATGGCAAGGCTGAAGAATATCTTCATAAAGCACTTACCATCTACACAGAAATTGGCCACAGAAACGGAGAAGCGAAATGCTACGGAAACCTAGGAGCTCTGTTTGTACGTGTGGGAGAATATGGCAAGGCTGATGAAAATCTTCATACAGCACTTACCACCAACACAGAAATTGGCGACAAAGACGGAGAAGTGTCTCGCTACCTAAAGCTAGGAAACACATCTCAAGCCTTATCGGATCTCTGGTCAAGCATTAAAATTTACGAAAAAATGCTTACTTCTCTAGGAAGCAAAGATAGCCACAATATATCGTTTTTTGACAAACACGCGTCTCCCTATCGGCTGTTTTGTTCATTGAGTTGTTCTTGTGGGAAACACGATGAAGCTTTACACGCTGCTGAACTTGGACGGGCCAGAGCTCTAGCAGAACTTATGTCAAATCGCTACTCCATTGAAAAAAAATATCCATCAACCCACAATCGTTTGTTGGCATCGCGGAAGTAA